CACACCTTTTAGGCATCTGAGTTGGAATTTGAATTCCAGTCTTACTAATTCCGAGTTCACTGCTTTTACCTGCTATCAGACTCCAATGTGTCAGAGGAGATATTCCTCTGAGTGGAGTTCTCTTGTCTCCCAAGTTCAGTATTCAATCCACTATGCCAACTTACTTCTCAGGATTTTTGTGAAATGGTTAGATCCCTCACAAGGACCCTTATCAGTCCTAGTGTTAGGATCTTTTTCTGATTTTCTAAGTAATCAGAGACTAGTGGCCAATGAAAATATTTTACTAATATATGTATTCTCAAGTGTATTGTATACAATGCATTTTGCAAATTCAAATAACTTCAAATTTGTAGTACTAATTAACCTCCCCCAAAGGATGTTGACAGGAACAGCCAGGTAGCACTATGGACAGATAGCTAGGCTTGGAGTCAGGAAGATCTGTGTTCAAATTCAGCCTCAGAAACTTCTTAACTGTGTGACTTTGGGCAAGTCACTTAACCTGTTTGTCACTGCAGAGGGAAATGGCAAATCACTCCAGTATCTTTTCCAAGAAAATCTCATGGACAGAGGTCCATGGGATCATGAAGAGTCAAACATAACTTCAATGAATGAATAACAACAAAAACAAAGTGTGTTGACATTTCAGTTTTTCTGAGAGGCCATCTGAAGATTTCTCCATCTGGACAGTATATATTTGCTCATTCTTAGTTGCACCCACCAGCTAATCTCATTAATTGGTCATAATACATAAAAACATCATTTGCAAACAACAGTTTGTGTTTATGCTTTTGTTTCAAAGTCTGTAAAACTTTTATAATTAAAGCAGGAAAATTCTGTATGAAGACCTATGTCAGTCTTCATTAGGAGTTAAAAAAAAAAGTGTGTAACATTCAGGAGGTAGAGTAACGGAATAGATTCAGAAAACCTTAGTCAAATGTCAGCTCTGTTTTGTGTCCTTGGACAAGTAGTTCAGTCTTTCTGGGTCTCAGTTTCCTAATTTGCAAGATAAGTGCTGACAAACCTTTAGTGGAAAGTAGTTTCAGATTGTTAAACCTTCACAAATTAGACTCCATATTTTACAAATGAAGGAAAAACAACAACCACGGAAATGTGTCACAATAGTATGGCAAACCATATATCATAATTCTGGAGAAAGTTGAAGAGCAGCAATAATGAGTGCTTTTGTGTTTAATTAATGCTAAATTACAATGGAACATTCATCAAAATTGAAGTGAGAGAGATAGAAATACCAACTAAAAACCTTATTATAAGTATCATTAGAAACTATATGGCACCAAATGAACTCATGAGGGTGAGACTCTCAAAATAAAAAATAACATTTTAAATGCATTGCTGTTACAAGCTCATTTGATATTCATTTTAATTTCAATGATTATAATGAATTCATTTTATATTCAAACAGATGTCACGTGTACTTCTGCCGAAGTTGCAATATAATTCAGTCTTAGTTAATTACAAATAAATGGATACTTGAAATTGAGTGTCACCAAGAAGGAAAAGGAAAAAAAAATATTTAACACCCATTAGCTCTTTAAAATAGCAAATTAGATAGTTTTATTAAAATGTATTCTTCCTTATTTTGATACATATGTAATACTACAGAATAAGGAAACTTTCTGTGACAACCAATACTTTTCCTCTCAAGAGCTATCCAGGAGGTTAGAAAAACTAAAAAGAAAAAAAAATCCAGCATATTCTCTTAATATGAGAATGAGAGGGGTGGAGCTTGTCACAAGAACAGGTTTAAATAACTTGTATATGAAATACATGACTTGCATAGACTATAAAGGATAAGTTCAGGGACACCTCATATTTAGGCAGAATAAACAATGATCTATTATTTATGATTGTAGGGCTCCAGAGAGATCCCCTCAAATCATCCGCCCAAACACACCAGCCAGTTGATATAAAATATTGCAATTCTGAGAGCTTCACTCCTTTAGCTTAATGTTCTAATTTTTGTTATACAATTTCCCTGGGAGATATAACCTTGTAGTCTGTTCTCTGTCAGTTTACATGCTAACGTGGTCGAAAAGCAGACCTTGAAAGGGAGAAGGAAGATAAGGACAAGGGAATGGAGACAACAGGGTATCATGGAAAGAAGTGTTGTCTGGAAGCCAAGATACCTAGGCTCTAGCTCTTGCCATGCCAATATCTATGCATGGTTCATCACACAACAAGCTGTATTGTTAATCTCTCTCTCTCTCTCTCTCTCTCTCTCTCTCTCTTCTCTCTCTCTCTCTCTCTCTCTCTCTCTTTCTCTCTGTCTCTCTCCAAAATTTGAGTATAGATCCTAGTCCCAGGTTCATTTCTATTATCAGGAAATAGCAAGTGTTTGTTGAATCTAATTACCAAGACAAAATTCTCCATTTTATGTAGATAGAATCCTAAAGGAATGGCATACTATTTTTTCTTTGACTCTCCCACACAAATAGATGTCTATGAATGCCTGCTGGATGGTTTATCTTGATCACATTCATACCTAGTATATATAGCACACTGAGAACTAAGATGTATTTTCCTTGCAACTCCTTCTAAGTTTGACTATCTTTTATACTAATTCAGAGAACTGAACAGATCAATGAGACCACGGTATCAAAGGATCATAGATTTAGAGATAGAAAGCTTAGAGGTCACAGAATTGAATACCTTCATTTTACACACAAAAACAGCTGGCACAAAGAGTTTTAGTGATTTTCCCAGGGTCACATAGTTAGTAAATGTCTGTGGTGGAATTTGAACCTATACAGTCCTGTCCTCCACCCACTACTTAATTCTGCTGACTCACTTTAAACCAGTGTGTGGTATGGTGTTTGTTTTCACGTTCCGACACTGTTATGCTCAACCTAGATCTCTTGCATACAGCAGGCATTGTTAGATGTTTGCTGAATTAAAATTTTTCCTTTGGTTGAGTTCAATTTTTATCCCAGTATAAATAAAGACTCAAATGTGGTGGGTGAAAGACGGAATGACTGAGGAAACAAAGATTGGAGCTACTAAGCATATCAATCTATGAAGCACTGTATGCCAATCGCCTACCAAATTGGGATGAAGTCCCCTCAGCTTTGGCACTAGACCCCAAATACAGGGGGAGACAAATTTTTATGTGTTAAAATCAATTAATCAAGCAAGACTGATTAATTTAAAGAAAGGAATTAACCAGGATACAAAATTAGATAATCTGATTTCTAATTGGAGTAAAGATTAAGGACTTTCCAAGTTGTTCCCTCCAAGGGAGGGAGAGAGCAAATAGGTCTAATACCCTGAAATCAAGGAAATCCCACTCCTCCCAAGTGTCTGCATCAATTAAAGAACACGGGAACAATAACTGACCAGAATGGTGCTAATTTTCAGATCAGACACATGAGTTGCTTAAGAAGTGTAATTCTAAGAAAACTCTTTGCTTCTATATTTGTTTCTGACTTGGTTTCTAGTCAGCATCACCTAGATCCTTAGTTAAGGGTCTCTAAGCAACATGCAGAGATGGTCCAACTTCCCAGCCATGCAGGGCTGGGTTTAAATAATGCAATACTCCCCCCCACATACACACACACACACAATTCCTACAACTGAATGAAGTTTTCTCACATGGTAGAAATTGGACTAGACACATAATTAAATAGGAAGGGAACTAAGTTAGCTCCAGACATGAGTCACAAAATGGAATCTGTGGTTCATTCAATTCCCACAATTAAATACTTGCTGTTCTAATCCCCTTACAAGCAATTTATATATTAAGTTCCTCTGCATCCCCATATCTCATGAAAAACTGCTATCACCAAAAAAAAAAAGGCGAGAAAGAAAAAAAATTGCATTCACACACACTCATAGCACTTTTTTCTCTATCTAACTGTATGCCCAAATAAATCAAATCTATTTTATCACATCATTTTAACCATAGTGTTATTTGGTATCTCCTGGAAGAAAGACATCACTTGTTCCCAAACAAGGACACCACAGACATTTAACCAATATATACAAAATACATCAGTAGGATGGCCAAAATTGTAATTAGTGTAGACGACTGGGACTTTGTGGCAGCTTACTAACATCTGAGGGAGAAACAGAACACACTTTTCTGGCCTGTTAATTCCATGTTTCATAATTTCCCAGTACCTCTGAAACTATGCATGACCATCCCTATTCCTCTGTCTGGCCACAGTCCATCATGCCAAGAGTCTTATCTCCATCATGCCACCTAGGGCCTGCCTTCCCCTTACCACCATGCCTCAGGCTAGTTGCCTCATTCCACTACTAATTTTCTCCAGCAAGTTGGAGTCATCAGCCATGGGTATAGGCTGGTTCCTCTGTTGGAGGTGCTATGCCATGTCTAAGTACAACTGGATGGAATCAAAGCAGACTGTTCTCTTCACTATAAATAGATCAAACTCCTGCTGGACCTGTTGACCCATTCATAGGGGATTTGTCAGGCAAAGTGAGGTGAGGCCTTCTTATATCTTAGATGACCTCTTCCCCTAAGTGAATCTGCCCTAGCCCCTAGAATTCCTAGTGACAGCTCTGGTGATGGGATACATGCTAATACATCAGAGGGGGAATAGGTAATGATAAATTTCCAGAGGCAAAGAACACTAGTAGACTCAGAATTAAAAGCCTTTTTCTTTTACATTAAAGGAAGCAAAACTTTACCAGGTTCAACTAACTTACCTCTAAGTTTATATTAAGCCCAACATAACTTTTGCCAAAGGCCCTTCTCCAAACAAAAAAGCCTCACAAAAGAATAAAACACAAGAAAATAAATCTATGAACAATGCAAGCCCATCAAATCAAGAATCATGTATTCTTTGTCTAATTCCCTGGAAATAACTGAGAGGTTTAATTTCATTCATTTACTGCTTCCTGCTCATCTAAGCCCAGCCTCTGGAAGGGTGACCTACGTACCTGCACCTGTTGAATTGTGTACGTAATTCCAGCCACCAGCTGAGAGAGTAATTAAAAGTGACATTCCCTTCTCAGCCTACCTGGGGTGTTCAACAACCTTGACATCCTGCAGGAATAGGAGACGAACTGCTCACAATACTCTGCGCTGCTGGTGATGGCCGTGATTTGATCCATGGAGGCACTGTAATTGAGCTGTACCACCGAGTATTTTTCTGGGCCATAGCCAACCACAGGAGTCTGCTTCTGCAAGTCATGATTTACAGTTGACCACACTTTATCTTCTGTGGGGGCAGAGAATGACAAAGACAATGGGTTATTAGAATTCATGTAATTCCTCAAATGTCAGAAGAAAAAGATTAGCTGGTTGGAGTAGCTGTGTTAGCTTAGGTTAGGCTAGCAAGAATCAGACAACCAAACCTTCCTACTTTTCCGTTGGATGTCTACAGAAAAGGGAGGGAGATGACTATCCAAACACATACACGCAGTAAAGAGTAGGCAGTTTCAAGTAATTTAGGCAGAAAGGGGTTTTGTTCTCCACATTATCAGGATAATCTCCCCTATGATCGACTTGCTTTCATTCAATAAATTCATGAACAAATTTAATTCATCAAATAAATATTTGTTGAGTGTATACCATGGGCAAGGTATTGTACTTAGTACTAATGAGGGTGGGATATAAAGACATATATAACAGGGTCTCATCCCTTAAGAAGCAGACATTTTTGTCGACAGGTAAAGAACATTGGCTTTGAATGCGGGGGTCCTGGGATGAGTCCCAGATTTTGCATTTGCTATCTGTGTGGCTTTCAGCAAGTCATTTAGCCATTTTTTGGACCTGTTTTCTTAGGACAAATGAGAGCATTGGATTCTCTACCATCCCTTCCAGTTCCAAATCTGTGGTGCATTTTTTCATGAAGCTACAATTGAGGAAGGTGCCCGTTTCATATGAGGTGCTATAGTCAGCATGATATGAATTTAGACGAGAAGGGAGTGTATTGTACTAAAATACTCAAGCAATATTTCACAGATGAGTCGGGCTTAAAGTCATACCTAAAAGCTATGAAGAAGTGCTTTAGGAAGACATGTAGGGGGAGGGATGGCATGCTAGGAGCAAGGGAATGACATGAGTTTCCTGTGTGCAGAAATAAGAAAGTGCTACAGCAAAGCCTCTGAATGTCAGGTCATACTTCTCTTTAAAGCAGAAGTAACCTAAAAAAAATCCCTCAGATATGAAAAATTAATATCCTGCAAAGGAAATACATCATACACACACACACACACACATACATGCATATACATAATAACTTAACCAAAGTTATAATACATATAGTTATAATTATATAATTATAACTTAATCAAATACAATATGAATAAAATTATATATATGTATACACACACATATGTATGTGGGGCTAGGATGATCACTGCAATTTTTTTTTCTTTTGGTGAAGCAATGGGGGTTAAGTGACTTGCCCAGGATCATACAACTAGTGTCAAGTGTCTGAGGCTGGATTTGAACTCAGGTCCTCCTGACTCCAGGGCCCATGCTCTATCCACTGCACCACCCTCCTGCAATTCTTTTTAAGAGAATGAAACCGCAAAGAGTGAATTAGTCAGGGGAAGGAAGATTAATGGGGGAGAAAGTACAAGAATAAATAAGTCAGACCTTAAAAACCAATTCATTTAGGTAGAAGAGAATAATAATAGAGACCTGTGCTCAAAAGAATAAACTTGAATAACCATTGACCCAGTGGATGCTCCAGCTTGAAGAAGCAGACTTTACTTCCAGAGATTCATTTTAAGGACGTCTACCTTGGAGGAAGAATCCCTGCCTCTTTGTCAGATGATTTGTCATTATTATTTCCCAAATGAACTTCTTAATCAAGCTATCCTCCAGTGTGATATTATGCAAAGAACACTAATTAGATATCAGACAACCTGGGTTGGATTCCTCTAATCAGCTGTAAGACCTTGCCCAAGTCATTTAACTTCTCTAGTTTCACTTCCCAAATCTAGCATCTCCGTTTCTCCGTTTCTCTTACCTTTGGGCCATCCTCTCTAGACAAAAATACCAATAAGGCATGTTTCTGCTGATGCAAAATTCTGAATCTCCAAGGAAAGATGTATTAGAAAAATGGATTTTTAGACAGATAAAAGCATTTGAGTAATCTGGGGAATAATCAACCTGATATAGTCAGTTTCTACCAGAAGATGTTTTTGTTATTTACCTGTATTATTATTACCTGTAACCATCTATCATATTATGCTTTGATAAGTGCTGGGGATCTAACTTTGCAGGTTACATAGTCATTTGCTTTTGCTTTTAATTTTCTGGCAGTTTGTTAAAAGAAATAAGTCCAAGAATTGACAAAAAAAGGATCTCTCACTACTTTTTTCTTTTAATTTTCTTTATGCTGAATATTTGCATTGGGCCTTACTTTTTTAGTCAAACTCTAAGTGCTTATGAATCAGAATCTTCCATTAAAATCCTAATATAATGCTTCCTTGTGGAAAGAAGATGACTTTGGGTTTGAAGACTGGACCAGCAGAAAGCAAGCTTGGGTAGATAGAGGAGTCACGTGACATACTGTGTGCCTGTCATCCAAGCATGAACCTACATACACGACTTCTCTCCAGAAGGTTACTATGACCTGGTGGATTTTTTAAAAATATTTTAGCCACAACTCATGAAGACTGTCTATTAAGGCATAGAAAGGTGGCAGTCAGCATTGATGGAGTGAATACACTTATGGATGAAATAATGGATGGTTTGAAATGTCAAAGCATCAAAGTATGAATTGGGATAGCTCCATCATTTTTTCTTTAATTCATCAAATAAATCATCAGCATCACACTGAATATAACAAGGGATAAATCCACTATTCCACATGAATTTGAGAGAAATGAACTATGTTGGGTAAAAAAGAGAAATTTAACATTGCTCTTTCTTATTTGTCATTTTCCCATTAGGGTGTAAGTTCTGTCATTAAATGATGATCCAGCGCAAACTTTATGATATCTGCTAAGTAAAAATGACAACACTTTCTCATCCTATTGCCATTCGTCTAAAAGCATAACACATTTTGGGATGGAAACTTTAGCTTGACCCCAATATTATGGGATGTTATTCTATGTGGTCCAGCACTGTGCCAGGCCACTTCCAATAATTTAATAGAATCTTTATTTGTTTCCTGATGACTACTGTTAAGATTTCTTAGTCTAATATTCAAAGTTTTCAACCACTGGACCAGATTTATGCTAACTCCCAGGTAAGGAAAGTCCATCTACCAATGAATGTTGGCACTTTTATCTGTGTCTTAAGGTCTTGAGACTTTAAGTGCCTAGAGCAGTGAGAGGATGAATGATTTACCCAGGGTCACACAGTTAGCAGGTATAAGAAGTTCCAAGGCCAGATCTCAATCCATTATGCCCTATTGGACTCCCCCTCCTCTCTCTTCATTTATATGTTACATATTACATATGTGTATATATGTTATATGTAATATATGCAATGTGAATATATGTACATATATATTTGATAATTTTTATCTCGACAAACACATGCCGATATAAATCAGTCATATAATATTTTTCAGCTTGTTTCTTGAACTGTCCTCAAAGATTCTTCAATCTACTTTAAAATGGGTTCTGCTTCTGAACTGTGATTAACACTATATAAAACGATTCCAGAACAATGTATAGAACTTAATGAAATTTGATGGGTTGGCAGCACAAAGATCTTTGTTTTATACTGTCTAAGAAAAAACAATTATCCAGTATAATGCAAAGGAAACAAGCTTTTGTGAGACCAATGCCAAGAAGCTGTTTAAACATTTGGCTGCTAAAGCATATGTAACTCAGACTGACAATGTGTTTCTAAGGAGCATAAATTTATCTTATAGTTCACAGATGGGATGCTGCATAATCTCTGACCTGGGTTGGCTCAACAGACTATCTAGAGCAAAACTTAAAAATGGAGTAAATTAAGGCTAGGCTTCTAGCCCTTGTTAACCTAGACATACTTAAGATTGACCTCATTCATTTGTTCACTGAACAAAGGAAGAGTATCTCATGTGCAAAGCACATATAATATGCACTGTGAGAATACAATATATGTCATATTAAAGGCTATTACTAGGGTTCCTTATAAAATCCTTCTGCTGTCAACACTGGGGAGGCCATTAAACAGAGAGACACCAGTGTGTCGTGGGAGAGATGTACCCTTAGGCTCTAAAGGGAATTTCTTTTGCCTTGAAGGGGTAGTCCTACTTGTGATTGAGAAGACACAGAGGAAAAGGCAGTTGGAAGTGGGAAGCAGTGGGAGGTTGAAGATCAATTAGGAGCTTACAAAATCACAAGTATTTGGAGCTAAGCATATCAGTGAGGGAAAAAGCCTTGGAACTAGGAAGCAATAAGTCGTGAGTTGTCCATAAGTCTATTGGTACAAGTTCATTTGTTAGTGCCTTAGGTACCTCTCTACCTCTTTGACACTCCTTCAGCCAATGATTAAATGTGTAATGGGTGTGGCTTTAGCCCAGTGTGTACTAGTTTAATCTCTACTGGGTACCTGGACTCTGGAGCCCTAGGGCATTTCCCTGTTATCAATAGAACCTGCTGTAAAAGAGTAAGTTGCTAGCTATGAATTCCTATTGTCTTTTCACATTCCTTCACTTATTATGGTACCTAGCACAAAGTGGGTAATTAATAAATGCTTACTCAGTTACAAAAATCCTTAAGCATTTGAACTTTCATTTTTATCCTTGTATCCTCAGTACCTAACAGAGTGCCTGGCTAATGCTTAAGAAATGCTTAATTAACTGATTGGTGTTATTATCCCCATATTGTAGATGAAGAAACTGAAAATGTGGTTGAAGTAAACCTGCAGAGTACAAATGAGATAAAATCAAAGATTTTTAAGTGACTGGTAGGTTCTGGAAGAGTACATTCAAGTACATAGTGTCACTAGAGGTCAAGATTTAGGTGCATAATTTGACCTTTGGTGATTTCTGAATTCATTACTGAATTTTCAAAGAATCAAGGAATTTGAGTTTGAAACCTCAGATGCCATGTAGTCCAACCTGTACCTTAAAAATAATTTCTTCTACAACATCCTGATATATCTGGAAAAGCACTGAGTCCAGAATAAGGGGAACTGGGTTCCAATCTTGCCATTAATGTTTCTTACTCTGTATTCCAGAATTAGTCATTTAACATCTCTGGGCCTAGCAATTTCCTCATCTGCAAAAATGAGGGGGATGTGCTAGAAGACCTTCATGGTCCC